TGCAGCAAATTTCTTCTCCTCAATTTTCGACCTATTATCATCAGTTGAACGAGAACTTTTAACAAAATTTCTCGAATTTTGTAGCATTTTCAACATCGATTGTTGTTTTTTCTCAACAATATCCAGTCGCAGTCCCACTTCCCATAGCATCGATTTCATATCCCGGTCTTCGCTAATCATCTCACTCAGCCGTGCGTGTAAACTTTCATTGCTGAAACAAACAATGCTGAGAGCTCTCTACCATAAATCCACCTCTTTATTACATCCAAAAACATCGCCAGAACATCAAAAAGCGATATTGACGCAATAAACGTCGATTCTGGAGGGAAAATATGAACACCACAAAGCGACATTTTTCAGTTCCGCAGTGTTACCGGTTCTTTCATCTTTCTCGATGTTTGTCAGTCGTATTTCATAGACTGGTCATCCAGCTGTGCACATTTGCCCCATGCTGCAGTGCTTGATAGTCTGCAAGCTGGCGATTCTAACATTCGTTTAGTATACAAAAAGGATTGTAAGCTCAACGGTTCTCGCTGGCGGAACTACTTAGCAAGAGTTTAGCCGTTCCGCGATATCCTTGCCATTACCGCCTTATCTGGAACGTCACATCTGTGATATGATGAGGATGTCTTTAGAAGGATCTTAGCCGGCACTAAATTAACTCGTGCACGAATTAAATAAGCAGTGAACTCAGTTTTTGAATTCCCTCCAGATTTTACCTCTCTGCTGCTTTTTTCAACGGTGAATCAGCTTGTGACAGGCTTTTCTTCCTCGACAAATCGTCCATACAATCTTCCTCAAAATCATGTACCAGTCGTATTTCATCGTCATTGAGCCTCAGTTCTAAAATATCCCATATTTTCTAGGATTTTTTGAATGGATTTTGAAACAGCTTAGTCAAAGCACTTTCGTTCTGTTTTACCTGAGCTAAAACGTTTATGCTAAAAAACTCTATCACATACTCATTGAAAAATCGAAAAATCCATCGCGCTTGCCTTCCTCGCCCGGGTTCCGCTTATTTTTGCCACGTAGCTGCAAAAGATGGAATCACGTATTGTTGTTTACTTCAGCGCTAGAAGGTGATATTGAAAACAATACATGACAGAAAGAAGAACTGGACTTTTTAGGCATTGAGGAACGGAAGGCATCAGACTGACAAACTAAATTGCTGAATGGTACCTAAAGGAAGAGGGGAGGAGAAAGGGCGAGGGAGGGGTGGAGTGAATCTTTGGTAAAAATCGCTCCAGCAAGCTTCTAGTCGGTAAAATATGCTCTTGCGGTCTAGGAC